AGGGAAAAAGCCTGCCTGCTCCCCCAGCATGGGTGTTAGCAGATGTAAGAAGGAAGCTGGTTCTTGCAAGATGAGGTTGATGTGGTCTAATGACCTGTGCCCGGGACTGGAGGCCAGAGCTGTAACAGCAGGTGGTTTGGCCTGTGAGGAGGAGAAGGACTATTCCAGCCAACCCCAAGATGCTGCCCATTCACAGCCATGCCACAGCCAAGCAGCCTGCCCCCAGACAGCCAGGGAGCTGGGGGGCAGCTAGGGGCAGGCTCTCCAGTGCTTGGAGGCAAAGTACAAGTGATTGGCTAGTGCACTCTGCACAGAGCCAAGAGGTTTCCTGCAGCCCAGAGACCACTGCTCCCCTCTGTTGGGGCTGAGGCTCAAGCTGTGGGAGGAGTTCAGGGTCCAAAGGGGCTGTGGGCCAGGGCAGGGGTGGTTTGCTTTTGCTGCTTCTAGGCAGTGGTGACAGCTTCCAAGTCAGGGCAATGTTGGGGAAGGGAGAGCCAGGTCTGGTCTCCAGCTGGTGGGGTGGGTTGCTGAATGAATGGCCTTGTCAGCAAGGGCTCTACAGCCGACCCCCAATGCACACACCTTGCAATGAGGGTAACCAGTATGGGGCATTTCTTAGCACTTTGAGAGGCCAGCTCAATGCAGGATATCAAACCCCTCCAGGCACTGACAGGGCAGAGAAGCCATCAGCACGAGGGGATCACAGCCCCATGGCTCACCTGCCTTCAGGACTGCTATGAGGCAGAGGTGCTGACATTTCAAAGTGGGCAAGTGGCTGCACAGAAATGGGCAATCTCTCTGCCCCTGGCAGAGTTAGCAGGGAGATCCCTCAGGGAGGGGAAGTGGCAAAGCAAAGATCAAGCAACAGCGGAGTCAGGAGTAAGGGAAAGGAGGAAGAGCATGGAGGCCCTGAGAACAAAAAGGAGAGGATAGGAAAGGGCACAAAGCTGCCCCATCCAGCCTCCTGGCTTCTGCTCTGTGCCTGAGCCTGGGATGGGCTGCAGGTGAAGCTGTCACTGATGGTCCGCAGAGCACCTCCAGTGCCAGGCAGCTGCCCTCTCCCCACTCCACAGCCTCAGCTGCAGAGAGGAGGGGAGAGTAATGCTTTTACTGTGTAAATATTAAGCCTTTGCCTTCGCAAGCTCCTTCTGTCACAGGATCTTAAAGGGCCTAAAAAATCCCTAAGCCACACTGTACGTGTGAGATGGCTAAGAACTACCTAGAGTGCCTGCAGCCACTTCTAGTGAGGGACGTGATTGCTATTTAACAACATACTGCAACAACTGAGGACCAAAAGTGTAGAAAAATCTCATACAAGTGGAGCAGCTGGAGTACTGTATGGAGGCAGGCTGGGCTAGGCTGGCACCTGTTTCATAGTTTCATAATTGGTAGGGTCATACTGAGCAGGGCCCTTGTTCTTTATAGTCTATCTAAAAGGCAGCCTCCACTCAGGGGGAGAACAAAAATCCAGCTGACTCGCCATTACCCTTACCTGCACAGTTTGCCTAAGTCTCTTAGGTACCAACCCCCGCTTCAACTACCCATTGCTTGCCCACATTGTCAGCAAGTCCTTTAAAAACCTATTTCAGGACAAACAGCTATTAAATCTCCGGATACCTTTAAAAAACTCACACTAGAAAGTCTGGGTTTGGGTTTCCCCTTGTGCCACTCACTCCCCAACCCCACCCCGGCTGCAGGTAGAAGTCCTGGGGAATGACAGCCTTTTGAGCCAGTGACTGACAATGGTACATGACAGCTGCTGCTCTCTGTCTCCTTAAGGAGCAAAGGTAGTGAGCAAGAATGACAGCAGAAGCAAAGGTATCCAGCCCTCAAACAAAAGACAGGTGTGGGAGGACAAGGGGCTGAGGTGCAGGGCCCTGGGGGAGGATGAGTCGTGGAGGGACCCTGAGCCATGGAGGGAACAGGAGCACCCATAGGGTCCATTTTGCTCTCTGAAGGCAGCCAGGCAGAGTTCCCACCCTTCCAGATTTCCATGACATACACGACAGCAAAGAATTGCACAGCTCCGTAGCCCGTGTTATCTGGAAACAGCCCTGTGTGTGCACAGGGCATATGGACATCACAACTGCCATTTACTGGGTCTGACCCTAGCCCTGTCTTAACCAGTCTCCTGTTTCATACAGGGGCAGCGAGTGGATGCTGAAAGGGAGAATGAACTGGGGGTGACCAGGGTTCTTTCCCCTGATCCTCTCTCACTTGCAGCCAGCATTTAAGGTCCAGGAAGTTTTGATCCAGAGGCTGTACCTCTCACTCCCATGCTCAATAGCTATTGATGCCTAGGGCTGCCAACTCTGAATCTATCCTGGGAGGTTTCCAGAACACCAGCATGCCCGTGACATACAATATGAATATGCCGCGTGCTTGCATATATCAATTACAGATTACGGTGTGTACACTTCGTGTCAGGAAGGCAAATGAACATTTCATAGACATTAAGGCTGGAAGGGACCTCATAAGATCATTGGGTCCAGCCCCCAAATTTTTTTCTTATTTTTTTCTTATTACTATTACATTTTAAAAACCCGCTGGACTACTGTATAAATCGGATTCAACATGTAATATTTATTTTAATGAATGCCCTATCATTTATCTCCTAGGTGACTCTCAGTAGTTTCCTAGAGACATGTATCTAGTTCCTGGAGACTCCAGGGCAATCCTGAAGGGTTAGCAACGCTACTGATCCTTTCCTCCAAGAACGTATCCAATCCCCTTTTGAATCTGGCTAAACTATCAGCGACCATCGCACTGGGTGACAATGAGTCCCACACTTTAACAACACGCTGGGTGAAAAAACTTCCATTTGTTTTACACTTATGGCCTACTCATTTCATTTTGTGACCCTTGCCTTGTATGGCAAGAGACAGTAAACAATAAATCCCTATTGACTTTCTCTTCGCTATTTAGTATTTTGTAAACCCCACAAGACTCTTTTCGAAGCTAACTAGGCCTAGTCTCCTTTAGTCTCTCCTTATCTGGGGCAGGGGTGCTGGGCTGCTTTTGCTGTATGGTGCCGCCAACACCGCTCGCAGTGAAGGGGGTGGTTGCGCCTGCTGTTGGTGTGTTGGTTGGAGCAGACTACAGTGCACATGAACTGGGTGCTGTGCAGGAGCAGGCCCTGGTGCAGGGGAATGCCAGGCGCGGGTTAGTGCTAGCACAGAGGGGCCCCACTTGCAGGGGCTGTTGTGGGGCTTTACGGGAACAGTCGGGCCAGCTGTCACTGCACCACCCAGTCTAGGGAGGAGTCAGGAAGGCAAAACCACTCTGCTCTGTGGCCTCAGGCAAGTGTGGAGGGAGCTCAAAGCGCAGCGAGTGGGAGCAGGCGACGATGGGACTCGAACTTGCCGGACAAGGGAGGCCCCTTGTCATTCACCCCTGCTCAAACACGCTGCTTCCGCTCGCTCCGCACAGCTGCTGCCGCGCATGCGCCGCGAATACCGAAGGGAGCTCCGCTATGGCAGCAGCGCACCCTGGCGGACAAGCCGGGAAGGGCGGATCGTCTCCAGCGGTGAAAGCAGCGAGGCTTGGTCCGTCCCTGCACTCCCGCCCCCGGGGAGCCGCGCCCTCAGCACAATCGTTCCGGGGCCGCAGAGACAAGGGCTCCTGATGCTGCAGCAGGAAGAA